GAGATGCTGCTTGCGCTATCGTATTTCCTGTGATGCCAAGGGAATGCTTTCTTTTCCTGCCCTTCCACAGTCTGTGGCAGAGTGGCTTGTAGTGTTTAGCAGGAAGGGCAAAAAGCTCTTTGAATATGGCTTTCCTTTTTTTAATTATGCACTGCATATTGCCTCCTGCTCACTTGTCTGAGGATGCAATATGCAGAACCACTATATCATAGTTTCAATATGACACGTTGTGAACCTTCTGGCTTCTAGTCCAGGAGCCAAATGGCATTGTGTATTCCCTCCATTTGGCCTCATTTTCATCTTCCCCTTTTGCACCCGGGCTGACAAGAGGAGCATATGAAGCTTTTTCTGGCTGCTGCATCTTGACCTTGACCTTACAGCTTTATAAAAGGGTACTTGCATGCGCAGGGCTGCTGTTGTCTGCAGCCAAGTCCCACTTTCTTTTGACATTAAGCGAGTAAAAGGCCACGTGATGAAGTCGCTTCGCAGCCCCAACATTTCTGTTCTGCTTTCTCCTTTGCAAATGTTTTTGTACTGACTTTTTTTTCCTCAGGTCAGGCTTACAGCATCTTTTTTTTTTTTTTCCTTTCTGTTGTTCCTATCCCCCTCTCCTTTTCCTACGCACATACACGCGAGTGCACACACACAGCCACACGCGCACAGAGACCCACACACACACACAGAGGAAAATCTATATGTGTCAGACATTCAGCAAGGGAAAGACAAAGGCACTGAGTTAATTACCCATCATTTACTGCTGCTGAGAAGAACAGATGGTAGCAGGCGATATGTAAATGGCAAGGGGCAGTGAATTATTCGATTTTTTTAGATTAATCGTCGATGACAAAGGAAGTGATTACAAGCTGTGACATTTATACAAATGTATAAAGTACATAATGCTAGAAAAAAAAAAGGGCTTAATATTACTATGAGGATGTCAGGCATGTGAACACCATTGTCATAATACAAAGCAACACATTTTGTGAGATCCAAGGATCCGCTTTTCTTTGATTTGCAAACTTTAGTAAGTCCTAGCCTCTGGAAATATATATTTCCCAAAATGAATCCACGCCTGACAATCACGGGAAAAAAAAAGGCTTGAGTGCTTTTGCATATTTCCCACAATGCATAAGTCTGCCTAGGCTGAGCAGTAGAGCTTACAAGGGATGAAGCTGACGCTGAATCAGTGTGGACTGTAAAATAGAAAAAGGTGCTAATAAAACACATAGACAGGAAATGGAAAATAAAAGAAAGGTGATGTTTAAGTTGACAGGCTCTTGGTGAGGACAGGAGGACAAACAGTGAGGTGGAAGTGAAGACAGAAGAGAGTGCTGTTTGTTTATTGCATGTCTGAAAAATAATTGTTTTAGAGACTTTGAAGGTCGGAATGACATAATTTTCAGGCCATGCCTTGCTCTTTTTACAGAAACACCCAAACTGCTCATCCTCAAGGTAGTCTACTGTATTTTCTGCTGTATAAATAATTAATTGGTACATGAGGAAAACAGATGCTTTCTTTTGCAGATCATAGAAACCACTCCATCATCAAAATGTCTTCAATCACCTAATTATTAAATCTATACGGTGCTAATAATACAGATGGGAGCCGAAGCCAGTGAGCCGCAAATTTTGTTCCCTTTGAAGCATCCCAACCTACTGTATTCCTTGTTTGACATCTTGTAGTGAACTACTCTCTGCAACATCAGCAAGGCAAATAGAGGGGAGAGCTTGGTGGCGAGCTTATTTATCCTCCTCAGAAATACTTTCCAATCAAGTAAAACAAAACATCACCAAAATTACTGTGAAACACTCCACTGTTGTGCATGCTTTGTTGATTACAGAGGGGTGAGGGAGGGACAGAATTACATTATATTAGTCAGCAGCACTGGGTAGTACATTTAAATCTAGCAATCCATTTCACATTGATATTTTTTCAGGAATGAAGTGCTGGCTGTAGCAATCTGCCCTGGAGAAAGAGAAGGATAAAACACTGTAGCACACCATTATTTCCTGTGTGGTATTATTAGAAGCCAGATACTTAAGCCCCAACAGCTAAGATATTGGTTTCTAAGCTTTTTTTCTTTTTTCCATATAATACTACCTTTACGAGATGCAATTAATGCAGTAATATAGTTTCTACTTTCTTCATTGGTGTATATACAAGGTTGGTTAGCATATTTGTCTTCCTCTAGGCAAACACAGCTTGGACCCCAGAACAAAAAGACATATGGAGTTATTGAAAGAATCGAGATGTATCCATTTCCCCAGACCACAGAGACTAAACTGAAAGTATCCCAAATCAGTTCACATTGCACACAATGTCATGTTATCTACCTATTTCCTTGAGTTGGGGGGGATCATGAGTTAAAGTTGTAACCTGGTTAGGATGACAGACAATCATTTCTCTCTTACAAGGACAGAAAACAGTAAAAGATTCTCCTTTCCTGAAAATTAAAGAGAAGGAAAACATCCTTCCTATTGAGGAACAGCGAATGGGACACGACGTAGTAAAAATATCTAGGTAAGTGTCAATGGTTGTATTTCTTAGGCCTCCCTAGACATGATGAAATGGTTCCAGTGAGAAAATCCTCACTCCCTCCTCCTCCCTCAGATGTTTTTTTTTTTTTGTTTTTTAAACAAAGGAGAGATGATTTATGACATGGGCATGAGCTTATACAGTTTTCTTTTACCTATAGATTCATATTTATGAGATTTTTTTAAAAAATCATAGGTAGACCATACATTACTGCACATTTTCCATTGTTAAAGTGTTAATGCATTCCAAAGAACAAAAAGTAACATCAAGAGGGAAACATACCTTTTATTTGGAGAAAATGGCTGAATCTGAATCCACACCATATCTAGCCATCTAATTATACAAATTCCTGCAACACAACAAATTTATGAGGAAAGAGAAAATAAAATATCCATGCATTTCCACTGCTTTGGAGATATTTATTTATGAAAACCACAGGTAGTCATTATTTATAGTCCTGATCTTCTTGTTCTTTTATTTTTTTCTAAAACAAAGATGAAATTGGAATTGATTTTTTGAGGGACCTTTATACTGAGAGCAGGATCATTTTATATTTTTGCAAGTTGAAGTCTGTATTCATTACTAGGAAAAAATGTAAGAACAACAAGCTAAAGAATTTTCATTTGTGACCCATTTTTATTTTATAGGAAGCTTGTCACTGCATCATTGCATAAAAATGGAATTTAAACCATGCTTGCACAATAAAATAAACTTTAATGCACTCTATTCATACAGATTGAAATTATGCACTGGATATATATTTTTCTTATGCATGTATGTATGTAAACACACATTTATGTAGAGAGGGTTTTTTGCTTGGTTAGCTGAGAGTTCGTGTTTAGGCAAGCGCACCTAATAATCAGAGTCTTCCATTAGGAAGATATGCATATATAATATTTATATGCAGATGTGTATGCTTGCCATCATGCATCTACAAGCATGTTTGTTAGTACTGTTCTCATTTTTTTTTCAGTGCTGTCCACATTAAAATAACTGTGAATTTCATCTGCTGTGCATTATAGAACATATACACTGCAGCCTATTAACCTGTGAAAGCATGAATATGCCGTGAGACTAGAATCTTTTCAGTCCTTGAGAAGTGGATAACAGTAATTAAAAACTAGAATGTGAAGGCCTATTGTGACAGTGAAGAGGTGAGTCAGGGCATCAAGACCTTGTGTAGTGGGAGAGGTCAGGTACTGGGTAGCAGTTAAACACCCCAAAAAGATGCTAGGTTATTTTTCAGTTTACTTCACAGCCTCCTACAGCTGAACCAGTAATATGTTCAGTCTGAAGTGGGATATAATAAAAATCCTAGCTATCTAAGAAAGCAAATATATTTCCTTAAGTAACTTTCATGTATATTGACATGGATTTTCATTTTTTCACTAATAAGTGCGTGTATTTTTGTGCGTTATGCTTAAAAATATACATCATAAGAGCAAATATGTCTAAAAAATATTTGGTAAAGCAGATACAGACACATAATTTAACTTTTGGTTCGTTTTAAATATTGCAGGTAATTTTAAATTATCTCGCTGCTAATATCTTCCTATTCCTAAAATACCTCACAGTGATCTGGACTGTGCCTCTCCGAAAGCAGATAAGCAAGTCAGCCAGCATCAGCATTCCAAAATACCAAAACAAACCAACAACAAAACAGATAGAGTAACACTTAAACGATGTCCCTTTAGGCATTCCTTTCAACTCACTTCGGCTGACTCCACTTTTGTGTAGGTTATAGGATTTACTATAGCAACCTAACCTACCACTCAAAAAAAAAAAAAAAATTTCTAGCTCCCCCTTCTTTGTGACTTAAATCAAACCAATAGAGCCCTCTATTGGTAAAACCTCAGATAGCTTCAGATGCTTCTGTGGAATAAGGAGGCAGTACTTGTCATAGCCTATGCCATCATGTTCCAGATGAAGTCAATAGCAGATGTTTTTAAACTTAACATTAGCAAAATGCTCTGAGAGAAAAGGTCTGTCTTATTGCCCAAGTACGAATTTTAATTTTTTTTCTTAATGCAATAGCTTAACACAAGTGGTAATTGTGAAATTTGAGCACAACATCGCCACACGAACCTGTAAAGTGTCTGAGAGCACTTTGTTTCCATTAAGAACATTTCAGTTTCTGGAAAGGATGCAAATATATTACTCCTAGACTTGATTCAATATTTCTGTTTTGCTAAGTACAGGATTTCTGACTCAACTCTCAGAAGCTATTTGGAACATCATCTTCTGTACAGTCCTACAAATTAATTAAGGCCTTAGTTGCATTATAATTAAGGGTCCTAAGGCCAAGTCACCTCAGAAGCCTAAAAATGCATGACTATTTTCATTAATAGACAAGAGAGTGTATCAGAAGTGGAAGTTATTTCTCTAAAAAAATGTAAGGAGTTAAAACCATGAAGTCTTTACAGAGGAAAGACTATTAGAGACTTCAAAGAGATTTTTCTCAGTCCAGACTGCCAGTGCTGAAAACATTGATTAATCCCTATGATTTGGTCCATAATTTCTATCTCACAGCCCATTTCATGACAAAACTTCTGCTTGTAGCCATGTGGATACAGGTACCTAAGGTGGTGACTTCATGGACCCCTTCCATGGTGCAGGCAGGAGGCAGAAAGAGATTTTGTAGGAAGATAGACTGTAATAAATACCTGGGGTTTTGATAAGGTAACTGTCCATATCTTGGCTTCAATACAGAGGGACTTCACAACCCCTTACTATGTATGTATTTACATAAAATTATTAAGATTAACTTTGTGATTATAAAGTGGTTGTATTTACTGTCTTATTATAGAGGAAAGGCAATGGCCTATTCAAAGTAGAAAACTATTATTTCTATTTTGCATATGAAGAACCAAAGCAAAAACGCAGATTTAGGCTGCCACCAAAGTGACCTGTGTGTCCTCAACATGGCAAGACCTGTCCTCCAGTCACTGCAAATGGGACCTGGGAGGAGTACAGGTTTTTCCACAGAGTTCGAATGGAAGGAGGTTGGTGCACACCAAGGACTAACCCAAATATGGATATGAGGTCTGAACACGTCCAGCACACAAGCTAAAAATCTTGGAGCCTTCCTGAGTGTCACAGCTGAGATGTAGTCTAAGGTCAAGGTCACAAGGGAAGCCTGTAGCTGATGCTGCTCCTGCAAACAGACAGTGAATTCTGGTACTTCCAACTGTTTGGCAGCCCACATGGCCTCTGGCTCCTTCTGCCAGTCCCACATGCCCTAGTCTTGTTCTCACTGACTCCCAAACCTTTCTGAAAGTCAGCATCAGTTTTTCCAGCTGTCCTTGAAGTTGATCTGATTCATGGAAGTAGGACCTGGACCTGCGCTAGGGATGCACAGGAAATATTAAACCAGCAGCAAACTCATCCATCTTCATGTATCTGAGAGTCATTTCTTCCTCCTTTCACGCCACTCATGCATCAGTGAGGATATTTTCTCTACCCTTAAGGTCAAACCATGGTCTCTCACCTGTTTTCACCCTGTCTGTTGCTTTTACTCTACTTTCTCTGGGCAAGAAGGGGAAAAAAAAGAAATCCTGTATGAACAATTCTAAATGTACAAATACAACCATCTCAGCTGCTCAAAAGGTACAGAAGTTTCTTTTATTTATTTATTTTTTTTAGTTTATGAAATCCATTGCGCAGCAAGAATTAAAATAAAATCTGGAAAGAAATAAAATAAATACATTTAAACGTGCACAAATAATGCCTCCTTTCAAGTTACGTTAAGGTTGTTGCATTTGCAATGTCTTCCAATCACCTTTTTGCATGACACAAAGATAAACTACCTCTGGAAGGTGCGTGGGAGCCCCTGAGGTCTACCAGAAAAGGTGACACTGTCAAAACATGAGAAGTCCTCCACTGAACCTTGTTACCTAATAATTTATGAACACCCTTGCATGTTCTGCATAACAGGCATCTCTGTAAAACTGTGTGACTCAGTGGGAATTATTTAAATTCTATTTCAGAAAGACAAGGCCCTACCATACTTCTGTCTGAGGGAGAAGAAGTCCTTGTGAACTATAAGTCAATCTGCTATAACAAATCAATCTACTAATTTGCTTATCAGGTCTTGCAAGCACTGTTTCAGTCAGAGCAGGTTTCTGTACATTTTCCTGGGCATGGGATCTCCTCAGTCTGCTTGGCAGTACAGTGGATGCGACCAAAAAGGGAAAGAGAGCAGGAGCCGAACTGATGGGTCTCACTGCATTTTTGCTCTTTCTTTTAGATGCTGTTTATTGATTTTCCTTTCTACATTTGCCAGACAACATAATGGCCTTTAAAACAATTAAAGTCTTGGAGAAATTTTTTTTTTTTTTTTTAACTCACAAGCACCTCCTATTTAACTAGGTAAAGATGCATAATTTTTAATGGAGAAGCAATGACTTTCTAAAAATTATGTTACTCCACAATTAAACAGGAGAAAATGCCACTGTGTTAAAAACAGCTTGCCTCACACTCCAAAGCTCTTGATGCTATAAATAGAGGAGGCTGGCAGCCTACAGCTCGCCATCTTCCACTGTGCTGACGCGCCGTAGTGCTAGCAAGGGATGCGATTGCTGCTTTCACCTGAGGAGTATTCTGGTGTCTCGACAGTCTCTACTGAGAAAGGGCTTTCAACTGGCTGATTCCTACTCTGTTAGGAAAATTACAGCTGTCCTTGTTAAGTCTCTTCCCTTCTTTTTTTGGTGGCACAGGTAACAAGTTTAAATGGATAAAATGTGGGTGTGACTACCAGGGATATGAGACAATGACATTAAAGGGAATATACTTTCATATCTCCAGTCTTACAGGGAAAGAAATAACAGGAATAAAAATAAACTAATGCAAACACAACGTATAACCGCAGATCTGCAACGAACAAGAAAAATAATTTAAAAAAATAATTGCAGGACACAACCTTATAGAGGAAGATACTAAAATTATTCTGAAATTGTTCCATTTTGTGTATAACTGATAAACTTACTTTTAATCTGTGGAAAAGAAAGGTGACGTGAGGCACACACTGCAAGATCATACTTGTCGCAGGATAAAATGAAAATAAGGTGTTGCCAGGTCTGCCCCCAGCACCCCCTCACCCAGAGTATTGTGAAACAAATAAAGGTTAAAACAAGTCACCTGGATGAGATGTGTGCTCAGATCTCACCTCTGTCTGAGTGCAGGAAGGCTCATGCGCTCCAGCAGGCATAACCCTTATGCTCAGACATTGCCAGTAGGGTGCCGAGAACTGGGACTAGGATGGGGACTGTCTGGGAAGATGCATCACTTTACTCCCATCGGACATGGGCAGAAAGGTCCTCAGAGCAGAGCGTGCCCACACCACCTTCTAAGGAAGCTCTGACCCCTGCTATCATTCCATTTGTTCGCAAGGGGTTACAGTGCTGCCCTGTTGCCCTTCTCTTCCACACACAAAACCTACTGGCATAGGTGTGCTGGTACCTTTTCTTCTCCCAGGTCAGGGGTATAACCAGCCTCAGGAGGATTAGTCACATCAGTGTCAACAAAATCACGGAAGAGTCAGAGCTTCAGTGAACAACTTATTGAGAGCAAAAGAAAATTCTCCTTACTAAGTGCAGTGACAAAGCACTGGGCAGAGGCAGCAACTGAGCTGCAGATTTCTTATTTGTGACACAGCAGCAGCAGAGCGACTCAGCCCCTCTGCACCTCCCTACAGTGTTCCCTGTCAGGGTCATGCTGCAAAATATGGCTGCTTGCAAGAGAGGACAGGGGCAGTCAGGAAATCACAGCGGAATTCCCCCATGGATCCCAGGCCGTTTATAATTGCCTGTTGGTAGGTAGGTTCTTCCATGGTGTGCATGTTGTTTAAAGGTCAGTGCACATTGCGGTTAAAATTTCAGGGCACATTTGTGTTTTACTGCATGCTTTTTATTTCGCTTAGAAACTAGTACAGGGAGAGTAGAGCTGATTTTAGGCTCTAGGAGCAGTGCCTGTACAGTAAATGCTTACTTTTTTTTTTTTTTTCCTCAGGCTGGACAATTTTCATTTCCAGTCTCCCCAAACTTTCGGGAACCTTCAGGTCAGCTTAATTGAGAAGATACCAAGATGGCAATTTTTCCCTGAGACTTTTACTGGTTTAGATTGAAATCAACATTGCTTTAACATGTTAATGTTGTTAATATACTGCACTGAGAATTTGAGAAAAAAAAGTTGAAGAAGGGCAATGACCAATTCACCTGCCAGCTTAATAGCCTGTTTGGATAAGGCTAAAAGCAAACTGTGGTTTTGACTATAAGCAGCAATGTCCTCAGAGCCAGAGATGTTATGACATATTTATGATCAATATATTTTGCAAAGCAATGTCATTTTTTTTCTGCTTTAACCTCTGGAAGGTGTACAGCTCCAAAACACTAAAATAAGTCACAATATTCAGAATTACATCTTCTAAATTCTTTACCTAACATGGGTATAGTGCGAATGTATAAAGCCTAAAATTCAAATAATCAACAAGTAAAACAATCAGAAAAATGACAAATTAAAAGAAATTACAAACGATTGCCCTGAATCTGAGCTTACAGCAGATACAAACTGAGGTTGCCTTGAAGCTTGGAAAGTGTGGTAGCCTGTATTCCCTGTTAAAACAAAGCTATTGATATGACCTTATGGCTTACTAAACATTTTGGACAGATCACTCTGGAAACTCTCATCTTCTAATTGTCTGTTAAAACTATTCCTATTTAACCACTAACACACCCAGAGCTAAGAATAATTGCAAGAGGAAATGGATATTTATATAAAAATTTTTATTTTAAATAATCTGTTTTCACTGAAGATGTGAAAAAAATCTAACAGAAACACCAATGATTTCCCCGTATTGGCATTGATGATCTCCTTTTAAAACACCTCTGTCTTTATTTCCATAAATCTGTCCTTTTTTCCTGCTTCCAGTTCTTCTTCAGAAAACACCATATATTCCAGTATTCTGTAGTTTTTCTACTTCTTCATGAAGAGCACAAATCGTTTATCCCCATTAGCTGTCTGTGCAGCTCCCATCAGCAAGGTTTAGACAGACGGAAAGGCTCCAAATCCCAGTGCCAATTCGTTAAGTTATCCAGTGCCAACTTCTTTCTGTCTCTAACTTTGCTACTCTGTTTGGTACTAACCTGTAGTTTTATGGCCACATACAGGGCCAGATCTGGAAGAAATAAGAAAAAGTAGGTCCACAGAATATAAAAAATATTTATAAAGGTATGATGTGTCAAACTGCTTAGACTAGTTTCTGGTACATAAATTGTGTTCTTAGACAGTGTTGTGATAAATTAAAGCTATTACTATGTAACTACATATATCACATTCTTATAAAATTCAATTGTCACTTTCCAAGTGATATTTTAGCTTCTTTTGTTTTATACTGTCAAGGAGACTTAAGCAAAGGCTGCAGTGCTTTAAATTCCAGCTTTTACTTTGGGAAAATACCAGCAAAAAGACAAATAGAGTTCAGTAAGACTGCAGATATAAGTGTCTGGAGCACCCAGGTGAGCTGTGCTGCTCCATCTGCACTCTGCTCTCTGTGCCAAGCTGCTTGGCAGGGGAAAGGAATGGACAGGACCCTGCTGTCCAAGCATTGCAGAAGACATGAATCTTGTCAATTTTGGATTGAATTCCATGCCAGTTATCAAGCAAGCAGCCAGCAAACTGCAGCACACCACACAGCAAAATGTACACCAGCCTTTCTATGCCTCACTGCCTCCCCTGGATGGCACTTGTTAAGGCATTTCTGTGGGCTCTCTGTCTCCAGGTACTGCAGAGACCATCACCATTCACAAGGCTGAGTGTATTTACACCAGCTGAAACACAAGCCTATGTTTGCATACAGAACATCTTAGAGCAGCTTTGATACGTGATAAGAAATCTCTTTCTCTGGACAATATTATAGGAACTATAAGCTGGTTTCACAAAGGTTCGGATTCTTTGGATTTCTGTTACTTTAAGGTGCCAAACTGTAGCATTGTCAATTGTATTCTCAAGGGTTTGAATCACTTCCAAGAGATTTTATCACTGTATACTTCACGTTAGGCAGAACTGCAGTCATATTCAAAGCATACTGTGGTAGTCAACAGGAAAAAAACCCAAACTAAAATACATATTTGTTTGCTACTAACAAGAATTTTTTTGTTGTATTAAATTCATATTTGGCAGCTTGTAAAGACGTGTTATTTGCTTTTCTCTTAAAATTCTTCTTTTCAGCATCCTGATTCCCTAAAGTGTCTCCATTTCTTTTCTCCTCTAATTTTCTTATATTCCTTCTTCAGTTTTGTTCTGTTTTTCAGCTTATTCACAGCAAATTCCTCCAGTCAAGATACGGATCAATAACTAGAGCCTTTCAAAATGACAGAGAAATGTATTTAAAGGCCGGGGGGCGGGGGGGGGGGGGGAAGAGGTAAAATATTTTACAGTTGTCATTTACAGATTATATTCATCCAATTTCATCAACTTGTGAGCAATGGTCCACAGGTATGAGAGTTTACACATAAATTTATCGTAATGAG